AAAAGCCCTACGGACTTCGTCATCGATCATATCCAAAATTAAACAACGTTATGATTTCAACTTTTGCTAAATGTATATAGAGGAATATCTTCTCATACTGAGGAGTCATTTCATTTCTTCTTCCCCAACCTGAGGAAGAATCTGCCAGTAAAAGCAATGTTCTTGGCTCACACTAATTTTGTCTCCAGGTATTCCTTGTCTTTCTACCAAAAGACTCACTGAAGCATCCCTAACATGTTGTTATCTTTTTTTTTGGCTGGTACATGATAAGTGAGTACCCTCCAAGTTTCAACATACTATAACCTACTGCCTATCAAATTCTCATCTGTTTTTAAAATGTTACATAATTTTAGAATATGTGTCTGTGTATGAAAAAATATATACTTGAATCCAAATTAAAATTAGGTATTTATACTCATTTGTTTTATCCCTGCATAAATAGATTTGACTAATTTAAATGAAAATAAATTCAGCTAGGAATCATCTCATATCTATTAAAAATTTCAGTGCAGATACATTTATGACTAATAAATATTAAAAATTTAAACTACAAGTGGATAAGATATTGAAACAAAAATCCATTACATTTTTGCAAAATGCTTGTAAGACTTATAACTACATTATATACTTTGGCAAAAAGTCTATGTTTCATCTGGTTACCCATAATATTAGATAAAATTCTCTATTATATAATCAAATTGTCTTATTTTGTTTTTTTTTTAACCCCAAACCAAGTCATCATTAGCATTAGGAAGATAAATATCTTGTTACAAATTAGAATTAACAATAACCCTTCCCAGGTAGTGCATACATTGGAAAGAACAAGAATCAGAAGAGTTTGAGAGCCATATAAATTGTCTCCTGAAATTGAATTTGTTTTTCCCTTTAGATGGCTCTAAGAATCTGTTTTGGGGATACACTCGAAACTGATTTGATACACTGACATATAAAGAGATGAATTGTTATTATTTCAATGTATTACTATACTAGCAGGAAGTTCAAATTAACTTTCAGATTTCTAAAGTACTCATTTTTTTTAACTAGTCTTACAGCTCATTTTGCAAACATAATTAAGACAGGCTACCATCTTCTAGTTTTATTTTTATTAGCAACAAGTCTAATATGTCTATCTTAGAGAGTAAATAGCATGTCTTGAACCACCAGATCAGAGCCACCTGATAATTCAATCAGCTAGACTAGCGAACACCTTCTATCAAGACACAAGGCTCGCAACTAATATTGATAACTCTTTATTACGTGATACTTCAGTACTTTAGGATTCCCCTTCTGTAGTTGAAATCTTCAGCGCTGATAAAGATATTTTCAATTACAATTATCAAATCCACTCTATAGCATTACTAAGACTTACCAAAACATTATCTTAAAGGGTGAAAAATGAAGACTGTATGAAATTGTGAGCATAAATTTTCTATATCACTTAAAGTCTTCAATCTGCTCATTACATGTTACAATGAGATATGACTAGCATTATATAAAGGCTCAATTTTTCAGCATATGAAAAATCCCCACATTCATAAGCATCTCTGCACATGCTAGTGCTATAATCAATATTTTAGAGAGTCATGTAAATAAATGTCACAAACCAAGTCCAAACTTTCACATTTCCCCAACACAGTGGAAAAACAAGCAGAGCCTTATTTTTTCCACATGGAAACTAGTCCTTTCCTTTTTATACATCTTCTCATGTCTAAACTTGTTAATTCAGTTGTACACACACATGAGGTAATTAAGTGGTTACCCTTTTGTCCTTGTAACCAGAAAGTGTCACCTCTGAAAAGTGACATATTTCAGCAGAGACACTATGTTTTTAGAAGCCATTTAGACATTAAAGCTTTAGGGAAAATAGTCTTGTGTGCATATGTGTGGTATGTGTATGGTGTGGAGTGTGTGTGTGTGTGTATGTGAGAGAGTGTGTGTGTGTGTGTGTGTGTGTGAGTGTGTGTGTGTGTATACATGAATATGTGCATAAAGTCTGCTTAGGTAGGAGAGATAATTGCCTAGAGTGGAAAATGGTTTTGAAAATAATGTACAATATGAATATTAATCAATATACAAATCAATATCACCAATGGCATGTGAACTCAGCTCTTTTCTAAGTTTGTGTAGAAACTTACACATGAAAGGTATGTGACTGAAGACTTCCTAGGGTCCCCAGGCTGGTGTGGAAGGTGAGATAGAGTTAAGGAAGATTTCTACTTATCTCTAATGGACATCTAGAAAAAACTACGACTTGGCATTTCTCCTGATAAAAATGATTTATCTTGGTACAAGCATCTGCTGACTTCTCTCAGCTCATGCAGGACCTACGTTGCAGTGCTTTCCCGTTACATTTAACTGGAAATTTCTCTTCACCCCCTCCCAGCTGACGGTAATCGCTTATCAGTCTCTGAGGAATAGTAGGAAAACAAAAGCTTAGACCAGAGATGATGGAATCAGAGGAGCTACTGTCGAGACTCTGCCTAACAAGCACTATGTGCTTGACCTGTTATTCTGACAGTTATGGAGAAGTCGCCCGTTCCTTTAACAAGATGTGAGAAGAGAATTGTTTTCCCCCTTAAGACCTCTTAAAATTGAGACTACCTTCCTTCCATTACTTCCCAAACTTTCTTCTAGTCCAAGAGGATTCTGTCAACTAAACCTACATCTACCTTCTGAAAGCTGCCTGGAAACTGAAGAAACATCACTTTATATCCATTGAGTGTTGCCATGTTAAAAGAAAGTGTGTCAAGACATGAATTCAATATTCCGATGGTAGCATGCAAATGGAACCTAGAAAGGTTAAAATAAAATGGAATTAAATGGTACACAAAAGTAGCTTTAACACCAAAGTTAAACTTCCTGTGTTTCACCAGAGGGTTAATGTTGGGGAAGTGAACATCAACACGTACACAAAAGCTAACCAGATTAGCAATCTCAAAGTAAAACCCAAGGCTCCTGATAATGCTGGTGTCACTTGCAAATGTTTTAAAAACTTCCCATGCTTTTTTTTTTTTTTGCATCCCACTATGAAGGCTGCATGGAGGAACCCCAGAAGAGTAATGATCCAGTTTTCATTTTATAAACTCAAGAAGCCCTCCAAGTACAGACAGCGACACTGATGTGCAATCCCAAACTGTCAGCCCCATAGGGCAGATGCGAACAAGAAGAGTCAGCTAGCTGGCGCTGGGAAGCAGCAGCAATTAAGCAGTTGAAAGTGGGTTGGAGTGTTGGTTTATTTTTGTTCCATTTGTAGCCTCTTGCAAGGAGGTGATGGAGTCAAACTTGACACTTCCTTTCTGAGAGCAGGAGCTGGGCTCCTTGTCTACTCTCATTCAGTGTAATTCCCTGTGCGGTCTCATTGCTTCCTGGACTCCTGTTTTCACAGGGGTTGCATTCTATCCTGCCCTCCAACAGAAAGAAATCTTTCTTCCTCACTGCCCTTCTTCCCTGTAAGAAAGACAATCTTCCTAGAGAAAGAACCCCTGTGCTGGCTTAGAATGGGAGGAAGGGGAGGAGGGGGGGGGTTCTGGGGGTTGGAGGACGGAGGAGAGAATGGAAGAAACAAGAAGATGGGGGATGCCCAACATCAACTCCTGGTTCTGAATCACCAGCCCTGGACAAAGTGCTTTTCCAGGAGATGCACTTGTGGTCTCGCATTTCTCACAATAGGCTTACCGGGGTTCCCCTCCCTAGGTCTCCCACTGCCACAACCCAAGTGTACCTAGGTCTTCTGAACAGATTCAAGCTCAGAGGTATCACCGAGGTGGCCAAGCTGCCAGTGGGGCTGCCTTACCTGGAGCGAGGAGCGGGAGGTGGTGCGGGTCTTGGTCCCCACTGCTCTCACCACGGACCGGGTGCGAGGCAACACGAGTACTCTCTCGCTGCTGCCTCCGCTCTCAGAGGGGCAGCCTGCAACACACAAAAGGGGTGTGTGGGTGTGGGTGTGGGGGAGGTTTTCTAGGGCCACCAGCTGGTCCCAGCTGGCCGCCCCCACCCTGCACACACCCCTTCGGGGCGCTGAGCCCCCAGTCGGATGAGCAGGACCCTGGGGGCTTGCCCCGGGGACACCCTCAAGTTGCCCACTGCTAACTGCGGATGCGGTCGCTGCAGGAGGAGGAGGAGGAGGAAAGAGACTGGGGGCTGAACTCGGTCAGAGCATCCCCACACTGCAGCTTCTCCAGGAATCCCTCCAGTGAGGAGGCGGCCGCCCATCATCTCCCAGCCCCAGCTGTTGATTGGTTCCCACCAAGGTACGCTGCTCAGAGGAGCCAATCAGGGAGCACTAATAATAGGTGGATCCTCTCAGGCAACGGAGCCCAGCCCAGTTCTGTTAGTGTCTCTCCATCCCCACAGCGGACAGGGACCTGAAGACAGGGGTTTAGGAGGGTGGCGGGGGTGGGGTGAACTAAGAGGGGACCAGATCCCAAGGAGAAACACTAAAGGACATTTGCTAAACCCGGTGGTCAGACCCGGGAATGCCCACAACCTGTTCAGTAAGCCATATGCACAGGATAAGAAGCAAGCATAATACAAAGCTTTTTTTTTTTTTTTTTTTTTTTTTTTACTTTCAATCAAAACCTGCCTTGATACTGAGCATGCCCAGATTGCCACAGCACCCTAGGAGTTTCGATATGTGTGAGTTCTAGATTGAAAAGGTGGGAACTGGAACGGGAGAGGCAGAAGTTTGTCTTTGGTCATTTGACCCGGCGGAGTTGGGGAAGCAGGGCCAACTGAGACAGAGGTAGCCCTTCTTGCTTTGGGAGAGCAGTCCCATCCTTCCGTCTGGGCTGGGGTGGGAAGCCAGGCTCCGATAATGTCAGTGCAGCTAGGTGCCTGGAGACTGTCCTGGAAGGGTGTGGTGGACCAGAGATGTAAGCAAGGTCCGTCCCATAGGTGGGGCGGAGGAGCTCGGCTCCACCCAGCTACAGCTGCCAGGCTGTGGAGTGTGCCCGGGGAGTTTCCACGCAGCGACCAGTAAGTTTGGAGACTTGGGTCAAGTGCGACCTTGTTAGGCACGTTTTCCCCATCTTCTGGTGTTTGCGCTCGCCCCCGCCCGCGTGTCTCTACACCCTTTGCCAGCGCAGTGAGGACCAAAGGGCTCTCTCTCTCTCTCTCTTTCCTCTCTTCCTAGCTGAACCCTTCTGCTCGGAAATAAGAAGCTTTTCCCCTGTGAGAGCGGTGCTGACCTGATTGTCTCTAAGCTCTCCGGCAATTTATAGCTTGGTAATACCAAGAGATGCCAAACAGAGGCTCAGAGGCTTGGAGGGAAGGGCGGGCTGGATGGCTGACTGGCCCGGGGTGGAGCCCAGCTCCCCAGGGCAGGAACCTTTGCTCCACAGGTAAAAGGCTTTCATGATGCAAAAGGGATTTTCCTTTCTCACTCACTCGACCTTGCTCAGTGCCCTCTGCACCTCTTGTTTTGCTTAGAAATCTTAGCAGTTCGTGTAAAGTTGATCAATAGCCACAAATGAGAACTCTCCTAATTGGGCTCTTTATTTCCCCGACAGGATGATCTTGGCATCTCAGGTAAGGAAATAAATAGCTATTTCAATTCCCCAAACTCATCCACTTTGAACTGGAGTTTTATTAACACTGGTGTGCAAAGGTAACTGTAGCAAGAATTCAATTAACGGTAACACATTTCCTTGGGTTTTTAATTAAATCTCTTCTATTTATATAATGTTTAAGATTAAGAACGTTATTCTAAATATATGGAGAAAGAAGACAACCTTCGTATAAATGTATCCTCTTGGGACACACATGCCTGAGTTTAGTGATCTGTTTGCATTACTAAGAATTTAGAAAGACAGGTAAACAAAGAAAACAATACACTTTCAAATTGTAACTTTAGGTTAATATCTACCTTCTGCTTTCCAAAATAGCCCCTTATTTGAAAATAGTTACATAGACGAAGAAAGGAAATAATAAACATTGAAAGTTGATTTTAAATGTTTGGTGAAGGAGAGGAGGGACAGAAGAGGAGCAAGGGATAGGGACATTACAAGAGGAGGCAGTATCTTATCTGTGTTCTCCAATAAAGATGTGTGCATGAGAGTATCATTATAATATCCACCTAACAGAAAATTTTATTCTAAAATATACCCATCTCTCTTTAGGTTCTCTAGTTAAAAACTGCATGCTTTTCCTAATTACCAACAACAATATGTAGAGAAAAGAAGAACATATTAATGAATAGAATAGGAATACGTCATTTTTGAATTTCTGTTCCAAACCCTGATTCTATCATCATTTTAGTCAACTTATTTTTCTGCCCATCTCACATCATACCCAACAGTGTCCTTCAGTGGGTACCATTCTAGAGGGCATGAATGTGTCAGATTTTTTTTTTTTCAATCATAGTGTTTCTTGAAGGGGACTGCTGTCTACAATAAGAAATAGGCTGTGGACCTATTTCAGTGCACTTAATTTTAGAACTAATGGCATTTTTACTTAAGAAAACTTTGCCGGGCGGTGGTGGCGCACGGTCGGGCGGTGGTGGCGCACGCCTTTAATCCCAGCACTCGGGAGGCAGAGGCAGGCGGATCTCTGTGAGTTCGAGGCCAGCCTGGGCTACAGCGCGAGATCCAGGAAAGGCGCAAAGCTACACAGAGAAACCCTGTCTCGAAAAACCAAAAAAAAAAAAAAAAGAAAAAGAAAAAAAAAAAGAAAACTTTATATACTGATTATGGATATAGAGTAGCTTCTTTTTGAGGACTGAGTTTTTTATTCTCTCCTATTTGCATATTCTTGTCAACACTGGGGAATTCATTGAAGACCCTGCCAGGCCATATTTGGTTAGTATTACATCAGATTTAAAAAAAAAATATGTGTGTGTGTGTGTGTGTGTGTGTGTGTGTGTGTGTGTGTCTGTCTGTGAAAGCACATATATGCATACCAGTATACATGCTTGTGGAGGCCAAAGGATGTCTTGGTTATCATCTTCGTGAATACATATCGTCCTAGGGAATACCATCCAACTTCTTTGAGACAGGGTCTCTCTTTGGCTTGGAACTCCTAAGTTTGGCTGGCTGCTGAGCCTCAGGGATCTTCTGTTTCTACCGTCCTGGTGCTAAGATTATCAGTGCCCACCGCCACACCTGGCTCTTACGTGGGTGCCGGGGATTGAACTCCGGTCCTCCTGCTTACTAGCCAAGCATTTACCAGCTATCTCCTTAATCCCAAGATGAATTTCTGCTGCAGACTCTGCATATGGTTTCTCATCTTTGTATCAAACTTTCCTTTGTTAAAAAGAAAGGTTAGTTCAATAAACTTGTCTCTTCTGTTCACTTTCATTAACCTGTTTATAGTTACTTTGATATTTAGGATTTCTATCTCCATTACCGCCAATACAACTCCTTTCCTGAGTTTATGGTGTTAGTCTTATCTTAATTACTTGTTATTTTGGAAACTCTTTCCACTTTGGCTGTTTTGCTTCTTTCGGGCATAAAAAAGCCCCCCATATACATGTTTATATATATATATATATATATATATATATATATATATATATATATATATATATATATATAGAGAGAGAGAGAGAGAGAGAGAGAGATACACATATACATATATATATGTACACAACATATATTTACTTTTTACTATGAACCACGTCTCACTGTCAAAATTTCCTTTCTTACTGAACTCTTCTGTTTCCTATTTTAATGATTTTTTTGCCATCTATTTTAGCTTACAAGATGAGAATAGAAACTAAATTAGATCGAGATAAAGAGCAGAGAGGAGTGTCTTATGGCAAGAGAGGGAATTAGGGAATTTAGAAACAAGAGAAGCATTAGGCATAAACCCAGCCAAGGTTTTCTGTGGACCACAGAAGATACTTGCATGAGAGAGATACCAATAAAATTCACATTTCGGTGGAAAGGCTGTGATAGCCAATTGATCCATAGCACATGCATTTCCAGTTAATCAGGACTTTCACATGTCATTAACCTTACATCCTTAATTGTTAAGCCAGTAATCTTCTAAAAACTATCCCCAAAAGATCATTACCCAGAGCTGTGAAAAATGAGAAATAACCAACTTTTCTAATTTTGTCATTCTTTATATAGATTCGTAGCTGTTTTTTTTTTTAAACTTCATTTTCTGCAATTGCTTCTTACGATACTACTCCTCCCTCTCCTCAGGTTTTTCTTTTTAAGAGGGGATTGACTAAGCATTATTTTTTTTTCTTGTCTGAGAATTTAGTAGAAGCCAAGCCTTACAACTAATTGGCTGTGTGGCCTTGAAAGATTCACATTTCTCATGTGTATATAATATGTAACATACACCTTGAGGGTTTTTGTAAAGATAAAGAAAACACTGCACAAAAGGCGCTAATTCCCACATCACAAGGTAATAAGGCTCACTAACCATTTTAGTTATTTTATCATTATATTGCTCTCATTGCTGCTATCTTGAGTTCTTTTCTTTTCCCCCCAGGTTGCTGAGAGGTTGGATTTTCTGCTATCGTGTCATCTACTTAAGCCAATATTGAGACAGAATCTTTGCTTAAATGTGAAAATCTGCAAGAACTTGCTCATTGGGGCTGAAGAGATGGCTTGGCTGTGAAGAACTGTACTGCTCTTGCAGAGGACACAAGGTCGTGTCCTAGCATCAGAGTAAGGCAGCTTACAACTGCCTGTAGGTTCCAGGGGATCTGACAACCTCTTTTGGCCTCCATGGGTGCCTGTATGTTTATGGTATGTATACAGATAAGCAGGCACACACTGATACATAATAAACACAATACATAATACACATACACATGAATAATAAAGACTGAACAAGCCAAAGAAAGAAAAGAAAAACAACTTGTGTATAATGAAATATCAAGTCTCCTATCCGCTCTGTGTTGTTCTCAAGGAAATAAATTATAACCATCATCATTTTTCATTGGAATTAGTCTTGAAAATGAAGAAACTTCCTATTCTAATGGCAAAATAATTGATGAACACTATTTTCCCTGGACAATATTTTAAAGATAACAATAGTCTTCTATTTTGATTTTTCTTCTACCTTTCTCTTTTAAGATCATTTACCCTGGCATGACCACTAATGTTTCTTTTACCCTTTTATTGAAGATAGATTTTTTTCTCACATAATATATCTTGATTATAGTTTCTCCTCCCTCTACACCTCCCAGGTCCCTCCCATATCCTCTCCCATCTGGATCCAACCCCTTTCTGTCTTTCATTAGAAAACAAACAGGCTTCTCAGGGATAATAATAAAACAGAGTATAATAAGATAAAACAAAAACCAATGCATCAGAGTTGGACAAAGAAAAAAAACAGAAGGAAAAGAGTCCAAAAAAAACCCCACAAGAATCAAAGAACCACTGTTTACCCATCCAGGAATCCAATAAAAACACTAAACTGGAAGCCATAATATATATACAGAGGACCTGGTGCAGACCCATACAGGCCCTGTGTGTGCACTTTCAGTCTCTGTTAGGCTTCTAAGGAATAATAATAAAATACAACATAACAAACAAAAACACATTGGAATAGGACAAAACAAATAAACAGAAGGGGAAAAGCCCATGGAACCACACAAGAAACAGATATAGAGGCAGAGACCAACTGGTTTGCATACTCAAGAATCCCTTAAAAACTAGAACTCATATAAGCAAAGGACCTATAGAGTAAATATACATACATACATACACACATAGTGTGTATATATATATATATATTAAAGAAAGAAAAATCCTGATATGATATTTTGACACATGGAACCTCCAAGGACACCATTGAGTTTGTTTTCTGCTGCCCATCTCCTAGTGGACATTTAACCTAACCTTAAGAGTAGTTTGTTGCCCTAGTGAGACTCCCTTGGAGAAAACAAAATGTTCACTGGAAAATGGTTAGCAATTGGAGATGGCTTCTAGGTTAAGGACAGGGGCATGTGTCAACTTCTCCTGTCAGCACTGGAACCCCGTCTAGTGCAGACCTGTGCAGGCCCTGTGCGTGCTGCTTCCGTCTCTGTGAGTTCATACCTGCATTGATCCTGTTGATTTAGAGGGCCTTCTTTTCTTGTTGTCTTCCATCCCCTCCGGCTCTTACAAATCTGTATGCCTCCTCTTCCACTGGGTTCCCTTAACCCCGAATGGAGGGATTTGATGGAGACATCCTTTTTAGGGCTGAATGTTCCAGGGTCTCTCACTGTCTGCATGATGTCTAACTGGGGGCCTCTGTGTTTGTTTCCATCTGCAGCAGGAGAAAGGTCCTCTCTGATGATGGCAGAGCCAGGCACTGATCTATGAGTAGAGCAGAATGTCATCTGGAGCCATTTCTTCGCTACTTTATTTACTTATTTAGAACAGTCACATTTAGTTTTACCCTAGGACCCTAGGCTATGTAGTCTCAGGTTCTTGGTCATCCAAGCAGTGTCAGGTGCGGGTTTCATCTTATGGAATGGGCCTTAAGTCAAATCTAATGTTGACTGGTTACTCCCACAAGCTTTGTGACAACATTGTCTTGCAGGTAAGACATCACTGTAGATCAAAATTTTGTAGCTGGATTGGTGTTTACATTTCTCCTTCAGTAGTGTGCAGAGTATCTTCTCTTACCAAAGATGCTAGCATGTAGGGGTGAGGCTCTATGTAGGTATCATCTTTGAACTTCAACATGTTCAAAACATTGTGTAGATGTTGTCTTCAGCAATGAGGCCTTGCTGTAAGTTTTTGGAGAAGAACCTATAGTCTTGGCAACATCCTGGATTGTTTGGGGATTCCCATGGGACCCCTTTGTTCAACAACTCAATTAGATATAACTCAATCTCAGTACTGGAAGATTCATTTGGTGACAAGAGATGTCCAGTTGGGGCTCTGGCTTCCCCGTTATTTGGCTATTTCATTTAGATCACCTTTATATATGTATATATTCTTGGAAGCTTATACTGTATTAGATTTCCCTACTACCCCTCAAATGGCCCTTAATTTTAGCCATCTCTGCCTGGGTTCCTTCCCTCTTCTCTCCTTCCTTCCCTCTTTACCACTTGATCCTCCCAGTCCAGCATCTTGCCCCTATCTATCCACATGTATCTATTCTATTTACCATTTACCATTCCTAGGGAGACTGATCTCTCCCCATACCTAATCTTCATGTTTCTATGCATTGTAGCTTGGTTATCATTGATTTAATAGCTAATATCCACAAATCAGTGAATACATACCATATTTGCTTTTCTGAGTCTGGGTTACCTCATTTGGGTTCATTTTTTTCTAGTTCCATCCATTTTCCTGTCTGTTTCATGATTTCACTTTTTACTGCCTGCATCATATTCCACTGTGTAAATATATCACATTTTTTTAAAATCCATTCATCTATTGAGGAATATTTACATTGTTTCCAAAATCTGGCCATTATGAATAGAGCAGCAATAAATATTGTTGATCCAGCGTCTCTGTGGTAGGATGCAGGATCCTTTGGGTGTATGACCAAGACCACCAATGATTTTATAGCCAGTCAAGTAAGAGATAAATAGTCAGGCTCTTTGTGTCTGAATTAAATGAAAAGAAATGAAGTCATGGATTTTCTGAGTAAACACTCAAGATGTTTAAGATAGGAAACCTCAAATTGGAAAGAAAAGAAAATGAAGTCAGACAGAGCCAGTCTGCCGCAGAGTTAGAGTCCCATTCCTGAATCACAGTACTGTACACTGAGTGTGCCGAGAAAAGAAATGAAAGAGCTAGCAGTATTCAATGTGGCTTCACAAAAGCCCTTTCTTAAAGACATAGCTAGGAAAATACTGGGAATGAAAAGAAGAACAGTGACTCAAAAAGTAATATACGGTGTCAGGTTGCTGAGGTTAGTGAAGAAAATGTTATTTAGGTGGATCTATCTCAAAGGCAAAATAAAAGTATTTTGAGCTAATGCTAGCAACAGGCTGAGAAAGGAAACATTTGATACATTTTTTTTGAATACTCTGTCATTCAAGGGAAACTCTACTGAAAACTGGCTTGCTAATAAAGCAAGAACAACATTTGAAATCAGGGGAAGGGTTTCTGTTCAACTGAGCATAAGGAATGATAGTTCACCCGCTGTATTCAAGTTATGTGAAAAGTATGACTATGCAGAGAAATTGACTTATCCAAAGCTGTGGAAGGGTCAGACCTCAGGCAAGACAAGAGTCTGTGTTCTCAACAAACTAAAACGACCTAATGATATTATTTCTGGATAAAGGATAGCCGACAATGAAAGCCTGCACTTTAGGGTTTGATTGTGTTGTGGTTCATGGTCAGATTTGAAAAAGCAAAGAACTGGTTCTTTCTGGATTGCTTTTGGAAAGTGTTGGATCCTGTAGATTTCCTTCTTGTTTACATGAAGTTTGGTTTGATTTCTTCAACTTAACACGGCAATAAATAAAAAGTAAATATCTTATAGATCAAGATATGCTCCCATTTCAAGAATTTGGGATATTGAAGACAGTTTGCAGGTGACAGATTCCTGGATAAAGGATGTCTCATCTTCCTTGGAAGCATACTTCCATTCCAGGGGGCTGAGGAATGTTATGTATGGATCTAGTGCTAACAGCATCTCTTGGATCACAGTTGTACTGTATCCTATATGTATATCTCATATCAGTGCCAAGTAGAGCTGGAGGCATAGATTGAGGAATCGGGATACCAAGAGTATAAATAACAAACATTTTCACCAACAATGGAGATGCAGAAATATTAAGCAACCTTCCAGAGATCAACAGCTGGCAAATGTTCCACCTTTCACATTTCAACCACACAGACTTGACAAGGTTAATAGACATTTAAGATGCACCAAAAATAACTGTGACTATGTCAAGGACTGCCAGTTCTCCTCTTGGAGACTCCATAAATCCTTCATAACTTAGGGAATTTGTGCAATAATAAAGAGAAAACTTTTATTAGTATAATTGCCCCTTGATTGGAAAATTCAAGCAAGGACAGGAATCTTTTGTCAGTCACTCTCTTAACAAATGAGGTTCCAACTGAGTGGTGGCTGTGAACCTAGGAAGTCTTGCAAATTTCATGATGAAATAGTATGAATGGAAGAAAGAATACTAAAGCTAGTAGTAAGTCTACCTTGCATATTCAAAGGTCACATATTAAATGCCATCTTTGTCCTCAATATTTCCTTCCAGCCTACACCAGCAGGCAAACTACTGTCCTGTATTTTGTACTTATTATGAATTACCATTATTTAGTTTTACCACATCTGTATGTATGTATATATAAAAATGTCATTGCTAGGTGTACCTGTTTTTGAAGATTTTATAATAGAATTATTCCATGTGTACAAAGATACACACACACACACACACACACACACACACACACACACACACACACACACAGAGCGACATTTTTTTAGTTGAATTGTAGAGTTCAAAGGCCTATAAAGGTGGTTCACTCAGCAGGTTAAAGTTGCATGCTTCCAATACTGATGACTTGAGTCGGATCCTCAGACCCCATATGGTAAAAGGAAAGAACCTAACGGTTCTGTAAGATGTCCTCTGACATCCATTGCTGGTATACACACACACACACACACACACACACACACACACACACACACACACACACACACACACACAGAGAGACAGAGAGAGGTTATAAAATGTAAAGAACAAAACTGAAGAGAGTTGGGACTTCAGGGGGCGAGCGCTATGGCTCAGTGGCTGAAGTGTTCCCTATATGTAAACATGAGGACCTGAGTTTGCTCTAACAGTGACATAAAGCCAGGCACAGCACCAGCTCATATCTGCAGACCCATTGCTGGGTATGGAGACAGAATGGTGCTGACAGCCAGCCTCCTAGCCCAAACAGCAAGCTCTATGTTCAGGGAGAGACGCTGTCTCAAAATGTAAGGGGAGAGAGTGATGGCCTCCAGACACCCATGTACCTCAATAAGCATGTATAGACACATGCATGCCACACACAGACAGACTTTTAATAAAATAAAATGAAAACAATAGATTTTGGGTTTCATTTTCCATAGCTGACTCATGTGCTATATTCAATTATATATATATATATATATATATATATATATATATATATATATATATATATATACACACACATATACATACATACATATATATATATATATATAATTTGTTTTTATTTAAAACGTTTTCATGCAGTATATTTTGATCATGTATTCCCCCTCTCTCAACTCCTCTCAGTTCCTCCCCATTTTGGGGTCTGGCTCCAATTTTGAGTATTTTGTATCATGTACAAAGCTGCAATGAACACTGCTCAATGCTCCCTGTTTCTCATCTGCAGAAGCCTCTCTTGAGTATACCCAGGTTAAGAGCTGGTATTAGTTTCTGCGGATCTGAAATTTACATAATTTCCTCTTTATAAAAGAGCAAAGTAGCACTAACTGAGGCATGGATAGGGCTATTTACTTGGATTAAAAAAAGGAAACAATGGCTCATGTTAATGGGTCTTACTTAGTGAATGTCAACCATACACTTTTGAATTATTAACTACTATTGTTCTGATTTTTGAGAAAATTGGCAATAACTGTCACATGCTTATTGAGTATGCCTCATTTCTTTCCTGTGAGATGTGTTTCCCAAATTTCTGTCCAAATTCTAATTAATGCAATATAAAAATATGCCAATGATCCCTACATGTATTGCAGTTTTATTCTTCTTGTTTTTTCACCTTTCCAACTATATATACAATAGGCATTTTATATACACATTAGGTAATTTTTTTAAATGTCAAATACTAAACCAGGGCTTATGGTTAAAGCATGATTTATGGCTTCTCTGCATGTTTTATAATTTATTTATAAATAACTGGATTCACTTGACAGTCTCCAGTTCTCTTTTACCACATCTTTCCTTACTATTCATATAGGTCCCTTTTTATTTGATTTCTTTACTTTTTTATTTATATTTTTTATATAATATATTTAGTCATGGCTCTCTTCTCCCAATGCTTCCATTGGTTTCTTTAGCTGTCAGTCATGAATGTTTCCATGTACTTATCTGTTAATTCCAGTATTTGGATCACTGCTAGGTTTTTGGGTATTCTTCCTCATACTTATGGACATTTGTAATTTAGTCTCCTCCCCCAGAATAATTTGTTGCTTTAGTTTTATAATGGTGCTCATCTATTATAGTAAATGTGGAAATTCAATGTAAATGTATCTATCCAGAGTGGATTTAACTTTTCAACTTAACCACTATCCCTAGTCATTTAACCAAGATTCTATTGCAATTCCTTTCAAACACTTTCAAAAATGAAAGAAAGAAGGGAATGCTGTAATTCATTCTTAGAGGTCAGTCTGATAAAATACCAGACAAAGACAGCCTAAGGAAGCTGGACAATGGCCATTAGGACCACAAATTAGCTGTGGAATACAGTAGCAAAGGTTACATAGCAACATGCTGCAGAGATTATACACTCTGACCAAATGAGAAGTAAACCACTGACCAAGTGAGATTTTCTCCACAAATGCAGATGGATTCCACACCAAAAAGGCAACACATTAAGTCCCACTAATGAGAGAAAGCAAAAGCATACACAACAAGAAATCCACATAATCACCTCAACTGATCCATAAAATGCAGTTGAAAAATCCAACGCCATTTTGTAAAAGTAGTCAGGCTGCCATGGATGTCCCTTTTGCAACCCTATTCAGAGCTGTAAAAGAAGTATAAAAATAAGCATTTAGGATGCTAAATACATAGATAGCCAACAAATTGGAACCGAAGTAAAACTACCTCAGACAAAATAATCTAAAATATGTAAAACTCTATGGAATATATAATACAACAATTAAAGTAATGAATTTAGAAAGAATTTTCATATATACATAAATATCAATTATATTTCCATATATCATTGATAAGCAGTCTACAAAGGAAGTACAGAATGAAATAGCACCACAAAATAAAATAGTCAAACAAATTTTATTTTAAAAAAAAGTAAATCTTGTATACTAAAACTATAAACATATGACCAGAAGGAATTTTAAATATACTTAAATAAATGGGAATGCTTTCCGTGTTTATGAACTGGATAATCTGATACTGTTAAAATGGCATGAGTGGCTTAATGTACACATCAAATAATATCTTTTTCCCAGACGCCAATGGCCTGGACTTGGGGATATAGTTTAGTTGGTACAATACTTGCTTAGCTTGTATGAAACCCATGTTCAATTCCTAGCATAGTAAATTATAAAGTTACATATGGTGGCATACACCTGTAATACCAGCATTCAGGATGCCCAGGCAGGAGAATCAGAAGTTCAAAATCTTCCTCGACTACATAATAACTTCAATATATCCAATTTAAAAAAGGGCCAATGGCTTTTTATAGAGAAATGTAAATATGATACTGAAACTAATAAAATATTGCAAGTAACCTTGAATAGCCAAATATTAACAAATGAACTAACAAGTGAGGGAATCACACTCTGGAAAATTAATAGCAAAATGGCAGCAATAAAACAGTCTAGCATTATTCTAAGGCTGGACATATAAGCCAACGAATAAGTGAGAATGTTCAAGTAAACTAAATACCTACGGTTAACTGATGTTTGACAATGCTGTCAAAAGCATTCATTGAGGGAAGGAATCTAGTCCTGTCTGTAACAGGCACAGGGACAGCAGGATGTTCATGTGGGAAAGAGTAAGGTGTGCTGCAAGTGAAATGCAAATCCAAATGCACCAGATACCTGAAGAGAAGAGAGAGATACATAAATTTTTGAAGAAACCCAAAGTAAATCCTCATGACTAGATTTTGCAGTTCCTTTAAGATACGACAGCAAGAGCACAACCAACCAAAGAAAGTAGACAAATTAGTCACCACCAAAATAAAATCAGCCAACTGTGCATAAAAGATCATGACCTAGAGAGTTGAAGGCAGTCTAGAGACTGGTAGAAAATATTTGTAAATCCTGTATCTGAGTCTTATCTACACTGCATAAAGAAAGATATTATTGTTAAGGGAAAAAAAAAGCAACCAAATTAATAAACATGCCAATGAATTTACCAACTACTGTTTTCAGATAAGCTACACAAATAACCAACAGTCACTTGGAATGTACATTAAGATTGAGGAAATCAAGTCCAAAATTGCAATGATACACTCTTTCACATCCACTAGTATAGATGCCAATGATGACATGGAAAAAAAAATCACAACCTTCATTTTCTGTTGAGAGCAAGACAAATGATGCATTTGCTATGGTTAACGGATCCTCCATCAAGTGGTTTTTCCTTAGTCGTCTTCAAAAGTATCTTTTTAAAAATTATTTTCCTTAAACACATTTTAGCACTGTCTTGTTCAGTTCCATAAAACACGGATGTGTTAAAGCATCACTCCAGTGATAACTGCTCAGGGAAAAAAGTACTTTGTGAGGCTCAAGCTGTCTTGAACTCACTGTGGAGCAGAAGATGACCTTCAACCCCTGATCCTCCTCACTTCCCTCCCAAGAACTTGGATTGTTTATTTCTCTTTTTCATTTTTTTTCACTGAAAGTATTTATTGTGCATATGCTCTTGTTATGGCTTAGGCTGGGAAATGTCCTCAGAGGCTCATGTGTTGAAGTTCTTGAACTATACCATGCTCAGAGGCAGGCTTTAGAGAAATGGCTAGATCATGATTGCTATGGGCTCATCAGTACATGACCTAATTGACTGGCTCGTCATGTGATAGGGTGTTGAGTAGTAGAAGCTGAAGATATGAGGCCAACAAGAAGCATCATGTCCTTGGAGATTCTCTTTGCCTCCTCTTCTCCCTTTCCTTTCCCTTCTCTCTCCTTCTCATGGCATGAGCCACAAGCTCCCTACTGCCATGTTCTGCCTCACCACAGGACCAGGATCAAATGAGCCAAATGACCATGGACTCAAACCTTTTGGATCCTGAGGGGAAAAAACATGTACCTCTCCTCCTCTATGTTGATTTTCTCCAATATTTTTGGGGATGAGAAACTGGTTAATACAAGTATGTTCTGGAGACTTTTGTGAGGCAAGAATCAGACTTGTCAATTACTCTGTGCTGTTACAAAGCACAATGGAACTTCAAAACATGGAATAATGCTCATGGGAATAGTAGTAAAAATTGAAGGATAGAGTTCAAGTATTCACACATGGGAAGATACTGATTCGCAAAGGTTTTTAATGTAAGGAAAACATAATAGCTGTGCCAGCAAGATAGCTCAGCAGGTAAGAGCACTTGCCATGTAAGCAAGCCTGGTGACCTGAATTCAATGCAGCAGCGAACAAAGGCTGAATGAAGACAGCATTAGTATTTTAAGATGTGTGCACCCGACATTATTTTTTCCATGAAAGTCTTCATTGCCTGTGAGACCTGTTACAAAATATTACCCATTTTCATGCCTTTGTAAAATGTTTCTTCTTCAAATGGTATGTCTGGTTTGTTTCCAGAAAAGTACAATGGACTGTTGTCTTGTACAGTCTAGCAAACTTCCATCAACTCTGGGGATTTATCTACAGATATGATTACTACACATTTGGGTGTCTCCACTACAAGCTCATCTCTCACTCCCCACCTTTCCTGGCTGCTCTAGACTTGAATCTATGTGGAGAGCAGTGACCTCTTTCTTACTCAGTCTTCTATTAGTAGTCACAAAGTTTACAGTAAACATCATGCTGACTGTCCAGTTATATAAAAGACATTCTTTTATTGCTTTATGGAAATCTTCTGTTTTGCCAGTCCATCAGTTAATGGATGTTTTGGGGACATTTTAAAGCTAAGATTGCACATTTAATTTCAGGTAAACGTCATCCTGTAATCTGCTCTTTTCATCTCTTAGCAGTCTTTATTATGATGTCTTCTTTTCTTGACCAATGTCCCCACGTGTGATTTTATTTTTATATTTTAGAATAATATATCTGCTTCTTTATTTTGTTATGATTCTCTGCAATCATCTTCATTGTTTGTTTCTTTCCATCTCTGCTTCTGTTTTTAAACCTTTTAAATATTTGACTTGTTAATTCAGAGCTATTTATAGCTTTTATTTTTTGTTTTTTTATTAAGAATTTTTTATTCATTTTACATATCAATCAAAGAGCCCCCTCTTCCCTCCTCCCACCCCTCCATCCTCCCTCTCCCAACCTACCTCTCCGTTCCCCCCTACAAGAAGGTAAGGCTTCCTGGGCTGGAGAAAAGGCTCAGCCATTAAAGGCTAGGTTCACAACCCAAAATACAAACTTTTATTTATTTTTTACTATTACTACTGTGTGTATGCTGTGTGCCATGGCACACATGTGGAGCTCAGAGGACTAGCTTTGGGAATGAGTTCTCTACTTCCACCCCAGATGGAACTCAGATCATCAGGATTAAATTCTGGTATCACACTGGCTAAAGAGTCAAGAATTTTACCTGCTGAGCCATCTTTTTGGCCCAGATAATATTTTTCCTTACATAAACCTTCGAAATTTGATATGTCCTCCATGCGTGACCACTTTAGCTATGTCCTTCAATGTTTGTTACTGTGTCCATTATCATTATTCCATATTTCAAAATTCCATTATGCCCTATTGCATAACACCAAGTAATTTGGAAGTGTGATTTCAATTTACAAAAGCATGTTGTTTCTAAAATTACTGTTAGTTTGCTTCTCCCGGAGTTAGGCGTGTTACAGTGGAAAGGGTCATATCTAATCCGCCAAATATTATAACTTTTTGTGAAACACAATTTAAATTGTTAATTGCTATAGATTGTGATCTAATTTGTACAAGTTCTAAGTCATTGGAGAAACCAGAAACAACTAAAACAAAAACTAAACCTCAAACAAAAACCATGCATTCTTCAATCTTTTAGTGAACAAGTTACGAGCAGAAATTCGATCAAACATGCTAATTTTGCTTGTTCAAACTTCCTCTGCTTTATATTTATTTCTTCTTACTATTTACTGGCCTTCTATAGTTGTTGCTTATCCATTTCTGAGTGTTCTGCACCTAATCTTTCTTCCTCAGCTTTGTGCATGTCAACACCTAGATCTCAGGTTTGTTTTGTTTCTTGGTATGCAGGTTGATGATATTTATCTGTTCACAAAAGAAGTACCTGCATTTAAAAAAAATGATAAAGCCAGGCATAGTGGAACAAGTTGGCCACCCCAACATTCAGAAGATGGATAGAGGGATATTGGGAGTTTGAGACTAACCTAGGCTAAGCAGTGAGTTCCAGACCAGCCTAATCTACTTTGTAAGTCTCTGTCTCAAAAACCAAGGTCAGGGTAAGTCAAGAACAGTTGAGGAGCATGTCTGAGGCCTCGGGGTCAATCCTTGAAGCTAAAAATAACCAGTGATAAATTTATTTATAGTATCCTGTGTGCTCTTTCCTCTTTCCTCTCATTCTTTTACTTTTATTCACCTTCATTTGATTTTTGTGGTCTCTTATTTTGAGGGAATGTAAAACTATCAAACATATGTCTCAGAAAGGAGAGGCCACTGAGCTATATAATGTATTTTTTTTCTTCCCATCATTGTTTCAGAATTTCAGAAAATTGTCAGATGAATGCTTTCTCATTTAAACCCTTCTTTTGCTTTATTTCTATTCTTTTAGCTTCTCCTAATTCTACTCCAAATTTCTTTCTTTCTTTTTTATTTTATTAAGCAATTTTTTAAATTCATTTTACATACCAATCAAAGATCCCCCTCTCCCCTCCTCACACCCCTCCAGCCTCCCGCTCCCAACTCACCCCCCATTTCCTCCAAAAGAAGGTAAGGCCTCCCATGGGGAATTACATTTAGTAGAGGCACGTCCAAGCCCCTCCCCATGCCTCAAGTCTGTGTGAGGTGTCCCATCACAGGTAGCGGGCTCCAAAAAGCCTGCTCATGCACCAAAGATGTATCCTGATCCTACTGCCAGGAGCCCCTTATACAGACCAAGCTACACAACTGTCTCCTGTATGCAGAGGGCCTAGTCTAGTCCGATGCAGGCTCCACAGCTGTTGATCTAAATTTTGTGAGTTCCCACTAGTTTGGTTCAGTTGTCTCTGTAGGTTTCTCCATCATGATCTTGATACCTTGCTCATAGAATCCCTCTTCTCTCTCTTTGACTGGACTCCTGGAGCTTGGCCTGGTGTTTGGCTATGGATCTCTGCATCTGCTTCCATCAGTTACTGGAGAAAGGCATGTTTGTCCTTCTAGGTCTGGGTTACTTCACTCAGGATGATATTTTCCAGTTCCAGCCATTTGCCTGCAAATTTCATGATGTTACTGTTTTTAAACTGCTGAGTAGTACTCCATTGTGTATATGTACCACATTTTCTTAATCCATTCTTTCATTGTGGGGCATATAGGTTGTTTCCAGGTTCTGCTATTATGAATAATACTGCTGTGAACATAGTCGAGCATGTGTCCTTGTGGTATGATTGAACATTCCTTGGGTATATGCCCAAAGTGGTATAGCTGGGTCTTGAGGTAGAATGATTCCCAATTTTCTGAGAAACTGCCATACTGATTTCCAAAGTGGCTGTATAAGTTTACACTCCCACCAAGAGTAGAGGAGTGTTCCCCTTGTTCCTCATCCTCTCCAACATAAGCTGTCTTCAGTGTTTTTGATCTGTGTTTTGATCCATTCTGGACTGAATTTGCCTATAAAAAGACACAGGCTAACAGAATGGATATTAAATCAAGACCCATCCTTCTGCTACATCCAAATTTCACATAGTCATGTGGTAGACTTTCTTTTGGAAAGTCAACC